CTAAATATATCTAAATCTGAATCGATTTTCACGAAACATAACACAAATCATTCTAGAGTCAATTCATTACGCTATGCCTAATTTCGTGCAAATCGAAAGATATATAGGCACTTTGGTGCACCATTTCTATTATGTGGTGAAGGGTATAAAAATTGATTTTTTTTAACTTCTTAATAGGGTACTCTTAAAGACCTTCCCTTTAGATTAACCCACGAATTTGTTTTCATATTTTATATAAAAATCTATGGCCTTAAAAATTCCTCCCCCTAAATGTATGCTCTTTTTAATGTCTTCAACCAAAATCCCCACAAGTACACACTGCTACTTTTTTCAAACACTTTAATATGGCCTACTTTTAGGCGTTTGCCTTTAATTTGTTTGTTTACCCAAAATGAGGTTTCGCCTATCCAAAATCATATCAAACGCACATTTTTCTGGAAATTTCCGCCTTTAAAGAGGTTTCCTTTTTTCTATGTAGAGAACGAAACACATACATACACACACATATATAGATTTGATTAAATTTCTCATGGTTGTTAGGCTTGTGGAGCCTTTGCCTGGTTGGGATTGTGGTTGATAGGAAATTTCTTGGAAATAAATTTAAGCTGGTGGCCTGGTTAGGCACGCACACAGGCATACATATATATATACCAAAACACAATACAATTTGTTGATAATTAATTATGTTGTTCCTGGAAAAATGTTTCAAGTTATTTTTGAAAGAAGGGAATTTTGTTGACTAACTCCTAGGCGTTTTATGTAGCCTACATAATAAGAAGAAGATGGGAATTTAAAAGTCCTCTTAATACCTTATGGTATTAGATCACCAATAAGACTTCTTATTAGAATCCTACCCTCGATGATACGAATATGGAATTTTAAAAGTCATTTTAATAAGAATGCCCTATGGTATTAGATCAAGAATAATACTTCTTATTAGAATCTGCCTAGGTCTTCATATTAGAAGGCCAATACTTTTTTCAAAATGTTGTTGCCTAACTCCCAGGCGTTTTACATACCCTCGATTTTAAGAAGATGGGAATTTAAAAGTCCTCTTAATAAGAGGATCACCAATAAGACATCTTATTAGAAACCCACCAAGTTCTCATATATGAAGGCCAATAAATTTTCAAATTTAAAGACCAAAACCTAATCTTATTAACAACAACAGAAGGAGAAGAAGACCTGGTATTCTTATCAGAATGCTACTAGGTTTTCATATTCAAAGGCCACTAATTCTAATAAGAAAACTTCTTTGATCTTCTAATAAGAATATCTATTGACTTTCTAAGGAAAAAAATTATATTGTCCTTTAACAGAAGATCTAGTGACTTCCTATTCCTACGAAAATCTACTGGCCTTCATAATATGATGACATAGGTAGCATTTAAAAAGAAATCTCAAATAAGAAAATCTAATGACAATCTAATAAGAAGGTCTGGTAGGTTTTCTCATTCAAAGCTCACTAGATCTTCCTATAAGAACTTTCATTTGTCTATGTAATAGGAAGCTCCTAAAACTTCTGGGCCTCTAGGTATTAGGCCAGTAAGTCTTCTTATTAGAATACCACCATATGTTCTTATTAGAAAATCATATCGTTTTCGTATAAGACATCCACTAGGTTTTCCAAATAGACGACAAATGTAGACATTTTCAAATAGTACAAACAAATCTCCAAGAACTAATCATTTTAGCAGGTTGGTATCAATGAAGAAAATATTCTCCACAAAATTCCCTTAGAAGACACCGACCACACGAAGTCTGTATAATACACGTATATAGCATTAATATCTCAAACAAATTCAAATAAATAATGAGGACATTTTTTGTTGCAACATTTTCTTACACTTTCCCATTTATGCCAATAACTGCCAAAATACCTCAGATTAGAGGGTGCGGGTCAATAAAGAAAACATTCCCCACAAAATTTCATTAGAGGTCAGTGACCACATCGAGTCAGAATATTAGATGTATATGACAATAACACCTCAAACAAATCGAACTATATAATGAATACATTTTTTGTCGCAAACATTTCCTACACTTTCCCGTTTATGCTAATATCTCCCCAAATACCCCCGATTAGGGAATTAGTGTCAAGGGAAAAAATATTCCCCACAAAATTTTACTAGAGGTCACCGAACACATCAAATCGATATATTGCATATATATAGCAATAACATACATAAAAAATCAGGGTATATATAAAAAGACCTCTTTTGTTAAATTGTTTTTCAGAGCTTTCTGTTTTTGCTTATATCTTCGTAAATATTTCAGTTAGGGGGATGAATTCAAGGAAGAAAAAAATCGCCACAAAATTTCATTATGGGTCACCGAACAAAAGAATGGTCAAGGCATAGTATATATGCCAATAAGATAGTCCGAATGGTTTTGGATTAATAAAAAATTAGGTGTTTGTAAAATATATTTTTATTTATTTCTCTTTTTTTTACTTTTCCGAATTTTGCCAATATCTCCTTAAATATACCAGTAAAGGAAGGAAATATTCTCTATTAAATTTCACTATGGGTCCCTAACCAAGAGAAATCTTTAAGTATAGTACATATATTAATAAAAACCCAAAACAAATTAGTCAAATTAAAAATTAAATGCTTATGGTATAGAAATTTTACCTTTCCGAAATTTCTCCCGAATATCTCCCCCAAATACTTCAGTAAGGGAGTTGATGTAAAAGAGGGAAATGTTCTCCATCGAATTTCACTATGGGTCGCTAAACAAATTAATCCAATAAAAAAATAAATGTTTATGGTATAAAAATTTTACTTTTCCGAATTTCGCCAATTTTTCCCTAAATATTCCAATTAGGGGGTTAATATTAAAGAGGGAAATGTTCTACATCGAATTTCACTATGGGTCACCGACCAAAAGAAATCTCTATATCAATAAAATCCCAAAACAAATTAGACTGATAAAAAATTAAATATGTGTGGAATACATTTTTGTATACTTTTCCAAATTTCGCCAATATCACCCAAAATATTTCAGTTAGAAGGTTGCTGTAGAGGAAAGAAATATTCTCCATCAAATTTCAACATGGGCCACGGACCAAAAGAAGTCGCCATATAGAATATATATGTCAATAACATATCAACACAAATTGGTATGAAGAATTATTTTTTCGAAAAAAAATATAAATTTTACCATTTTCCAAAATTTGCCGAAATCTCCTCGAATACTTGATTTTAGATGAATGCTACTAATGGAGAAAATGTTCTTCATAAAATTTCACTATGGGTCACCGACCAAAAGAAACCGAAATATAAGTTACAAATAACAATAAAATACCAAAACAAATTGGAACGAAAAATTATTTTTTTCGAAAAAAAATATTAATAATAATTTACCATTATCCGATTTTTGTCGAAATTTCCGTTAATTTTTAATTTTAGATGGGAGGTAATAATGGAGAAAATGTTTTCCACAAAATTTCACTATGGGTCAGCGACCAAAAGAAATCGCCAAATATGTTATATATGACAATAAATTATCAAAACACATTGGGAAGAAAAACTATTTTTCGAAAAAAAAATAATAAATTTACCATTATCCGATTTTTGTCGAAATTTCCTTGAATACTTGATTTTAGATGGAGGGTACTAATGGAGAAAATGTTCTCCATAACATTTTACAACAGACCACCGACCAAAAGAAATTGCCATATCGGTTGTAAATGGCAATAGAATACCAAAACAAAATGGAATAAAAGATTATTTTTCATAAAAAATAATTTTTACATTTTCCGATTTTTCCGAAATCTCCTTGATTACTTGATTTTAGGTGGAAGGTACTAATGGCGGAAATGTTCTCCACAAAATTTCACTATGGGTCACGGACCAAAAGAAATCGACATATATGTTATATATGACAATAAAATATCAAAACAAAATGGGATGGAAGAGTATTTTTTCGAAAAAATAATAATTTCACCATTATCCGATTTTTGTCAAAATCTGCTTGAATACTTCATTTTAGATTGGAGGTATTAATGGGGAAAATATTCTCCAAAAAATTTCACTTTGGGTCACCGACCAAAAAAAATCGCCCTATCGGTTATAAATGGCAATAAAATACCAAATCAAATTGGTATGAAGAACATTTCTTTTTTGCTTTTGAAAAATAATAATAATTTACCATTTTCCGAATTTTGCCGAAATCTCCTTGAATATTTCATTTTAGATGGAAGGTCCTAATGTAGAAAATGTTCTCCATCAAATTTTACTATGGGTCGCCGAACAAAATAACTACGTAAATACAATATAAAATCGAATAAAATATTGAAACAAATTTGCTTAAATTAAACACAACATTTTGAAGTGAAAATAGATTTTTCCCTTTAAATATTACAAATTTTATATCTTTAATACAAAAACAGATATTTTGTACAAATAAAACTCATTTGCGAACATGTTTTTCTTTTAGTAAAAATTATATATTATATTTAAATTTATTATTATTGCCAAAAAAGAAAAAAAAACAAACTAAACATATTTACATTATTTTCTGTTTGCGTTTGATTTTTCTTATTTTTACACTTACAACTAGAACTAGTGTATATGAGCTATGAATACCTTTTCATTCTCCTAAGGGATTACAATGTTTTTTTTTTTTTGTATTAAAAAATTAAAAACAAAAAACATACGGAACTTTTTTCGAAAAAGTTCCATTGTGGTTGAAAACATAACATATTATGGAGGGGGATGGCTGGCTTACATGTTAATTAGCATGCTTATGGGATGTATGGGGGAGAGGGGGACAGAAGGGAGAGGTTGGGGGGATAGATGAGATGAGCAATTATGGGAATTTGGGTTATGGTTTATGGTTTTAAAACTACGCCTGCGTAACTATATATACATCACCATTATTACTAACAACTTCCGTCATGGTCATTGTAGATATTGTGGGGGGTGAAGACGATGAATTGTTGTTGTTGTGGTTCAAATTTAAATTCGAGTTTTGATTTTGATTATCGGAAACACCACCCGCTCCACCTCCTCCACCATGTCCGGTAATTTGAAAATGATCTTCCAGTGTTTCAATATCATAGAAGACGGTATTACATTCCCCACATTTGTATCGCGGTATATCCGCACAATTGGCATGTTTACGTTCGATGTGCGATTTCAAAGTCATGGCAGTGGAAAAATGTTTACGACAATTGTCCACAGCACAACAATAGGAACGCTGTTGATGTGTCTGCCGATGACGATAGAGTATGGCTTTCGATTTGAAAGCCTTATTGCAAATGTGACAGGTGGGTACCTTCCCTGCCGATTGATGAGTTTTCATGTGCATGCGTAACATCCCCGGGCCCTTGAAACTCTTGTGACATATTTCACATTGTGGTTGTTTCTTGCAATTGGCCCGAATCCAATTTGAATGTTGATGCATGTGGTTCTGCAGACCCTTAAATTGTTTAAATTCTTTTTGACATAAATTGCACTTGTAACGTCCCGTAGCCAAAATCGTGGTTTGTTGGTTAATAAATTCTGCAATGAGTTTGGAATCAATTTCGAAATCATCATCCTGCCCGGCGGCCTGGGCTATGGAACAGGCGGTGGCTTGTAATTGTCGGGAGTTGGCCAAGGAGCGATTGGAATTATTGTTGTTGGAGGTGTTGGAATTTGAGTTGTTGCCACCACGCCTGGATTTTGTTTTTGTGGCCGAGGAGGAGTTTGCGACAGGTGAGGCATCTAGGGAATTGTGATTGGAGGAGCAGGAGGAGTTATTAACTTTATTATTAAATTGTTGCTGTTGTTGCTGCTGCGCCTGGGCCTGCTGCTGTTGCATCTCCGTTTCATTGGCATCACACGCGGCCTGGAAAACCGCATTTACCTCCGCCTCCTCCATGGCATCAACATCATCCACATCATCGATGCAACCACCCTCCACAACAGTGTAATGGGCCAGGGAATTATCCTCATGATAGATATTCGCCTCATCGTCCTCATCATCTAACATCTGATGATGATGCTGTTCCTCCATATCCTGTTCATGGGTGGTGCTAATAAATTCCGAACCATTTGATGTTTCCAATAGCATGGTGCCATCATCCTGTAAGATTTCCTCTTCCATGTGGATTTCTTCAATAATATCATCCTCTTCGTCGAGTTCATCTTCCCCCTCATCATCAATGACTTCCTGAACGACGACATCGGGTAAAATTAGGCCCTGATGATGGTGTTGTTGTTGTTGCTGATGGGATGTGGTCACTGTAACATCTTCCAAATATTCCATTTCCACATTTTGTTGTAATAATTGATGATGATGATGTTGTTGGTGGTGCTGGTGGATCTGCAGCTGCTGATCATCCTCCACCACAATTGTTTCACAAATTTGATCCCGCTCATTTGAATGGTGTAGAACATGATTATTGCTCTGCTCATCGCCAATGTGACCACCACCACCATCCAAATCATCCTCCTGCTGATCCCCCTCCTCATCATCGATTAGATGCTGTTCCGTTTGTTCCATAAGAGCCTCCTCATCCATTATGGTTAGATGATCATCTTCCAGGATCGCAGTGGCATTCCCACCATTACTTAGGGTATGGGTAGTTATCACATTACCTCCACCTGTAGTACCACCTCCCACCGCCGTCAAGGTCCGCTGGGGTACAATTTGTACCAATTGCAGAATCTGTTGGCCATTGGGTTGTTGTATCAATTGCAGGGTCTGACCACTGGTGGTTTGTATTAATTGGGCGGGGGCAAATTGTGGTTGTTGTAACTGTGCAGGGGCGGGGGTGGTGTGATGGAGCAGATGATTGGCGGGATTACCGCTAATTATTTGGGTCAATTGGGGTGGTCCACCGGAATTACCACCACCATTTGTGGCCAACAACTGGGTGGTGGTGGTTATTATCTGACCATTTGGCAGGACAATTTGTTGAGGCAGGACATTACTGTTGTGGTTGTTGTTGGACGAGGAGGATATTGGCAATAATTGTGGTGGATTTGTGTTGAGCAAGGTCTGGGTGGTCAAACGTGGCTGATGGCTGAGGGTGTTGTTGTTATTGTTATTACCGCTATGTTGTTGTAAAGTCAGGGTGCCGTTACTCTCATTTAAACTTATTGTGGTCTGGGGTAAGATGTGCTGTTGCTGTTGTTGCTGGAGGGCAGGTGTTGAAATGTTGCTTTGCTGCTGCTGCTGAATTTGGGCAAACTTCTTGGCTGCGGGTTGGGATTTTTTTACGGAAGATTTCCGTTTAACGGTGGTTGAGGAGGAGGCGGAGGAGGTGGTACTGCTCGTGGTGGCTGAGTGCATTAGCAATTGCTGCGGAGGCTGCTGCTGAGGACGATGTTGATTGTGTATCAAGAGGGACTGTTGTACAGGTTTCTTATCCTCATCTTGGTGGACCGGGGAGGACTGGGGTTTCGTTTGCAGAACCAAATGCAATTGCTGATGTTGTTGCGGCTGTTGCTGCTGCTTTAAAGATTGTTTTTTCTGTTGCGACTGTGCGGGTATTTGTTGTTGTTGGGCCATCCGTAACAACAGATCCTCTTGCTGCTGCTGTTGTTGTTGCATTTTCAGTAGCTGCTGTTGTTGTTGCTGTTGCAACAATAACTTTTGCTGCTGTTGCAATTCAAATAATTTCGCCTGGCTCTGCTGTAATTTAAGGCCTTGGATTTCATCGAGAACAACACGGGTCGTTGTGGTGGTCGATGATGTACTTTGATGGTTTTGTTGTTGCTGTGCCACCTGTTGGATAGTCTGTTGTTGAGGCTGATGGTGTTGCTGCTGCTGTTGTTGATGTTGCGGAGCCGCTGTTTGTTGTATCCTCACACTTTCAATTTGTGGCTTTTCGTCGACCATCACTCGAACCGTAATAGATTTGATATATTCTCGTAGTTCTTTATCGCTGCGCTCGACCTGCATTTTAAATGCATGACAGCGTGAAACGGCATGCACACATTGGACACAAATTTTGTCGGGCCAACCTTCGGTGGGTTCGACCGAAACACTGGCACATTCCATTAACATTTCGGCTACCTTTTCGCTAAACAACGGTCGCATATCCTTGCGTTCGCAAATGCACACACGACAGATTTTATCCAATTCGAGGACTTTTTTACGTTCCATCATGGTGTGTGTGTTGGTGTAGATGTGAAATTAAAATTTAGTGGCTGTAATTTGAGAGAAAAGAAAATGGATATTAAAACCAAACTATGAAAAACAAAAATTGAAAAATGAATATAGTGTGCGGTCGAAAAAAAGGTAGTAAATGCTTGGACTTCGAAGTGGTATACTGCAGTTATTTTGAATTTCACGCCTCACGCGATACGCCTTAAAGTATGCTCCGAGTTATTAATATATATGGGAGCTATATCTAAACCTGAACCGATATTCACGAAACTTATCCCACATCATTCTAGACTTAATTTAGTGCGCTATGCCAAATTTCTATAGAAATCGAACGAAAATATATATGGGAGCTATATCTAAATCTGAACCGATTTTCATGAAACTTAGCACACATCATTCTAGACTCAATTTAGTACGCTGTACCAAATTTCGTGCATATCGAAAGATACATAAGGACTTTAGTGCACCAATAACCTTCAATCGGAAGAAATTATATATGGGAGCTATAACTAAATCTGAACCGATTTTCACGAAACTTAACACGCACAATTCTAGACTCAATTCAGTACACTGTGCCAAATATCGTGCAAATCGAAAGGTGTATAGGGACTTTAGTGTACCATTTACATAAAATCGGACGAAACTGTATATGGGAGCTGTATCTAAATCTGAACCGATTTTCACGAAATTCAGCGCACATCATTCTGCACATAATTCAGTACACTATGCCAAATTTCGTGCAAATCGAAGGGTATATAGGGTCTTTGTTGCACCATTTACATTAAATCGGACGAAAATATATATGGGAGCTGGCGAATATTAAAAATATTTGGGAGGGAGATTTGTTACCAAATGCGACTGCAAAAAAACCAATTTGGAAAAAATGCGTTTAAAACCGCCAAAATACCGAAAATTTTGGGATACCCTTATATGAAGACTACCCGAAAAAATGGACCTATGTTTATAATTTTTAGTGTAGGGATTTGCTACCCAATAAGAACTGAAAATACTAAATTACAGCCAATTGGGTCGACAAATGCAATCAAAACCCCCCAAAATACTGAAAATGGGGGACACCTTTATATAGGGGCTACCCGAAAAATAGGTCGAAAAATGCACTCAAAATACCGTTATATGGGGGTTACCAGAAAAAGGTAATCTATATGGCGGCAATCACTCGTACCCACAGATCATGGCCTACAACTTTATAAATTGTCAACGAGGTTTATCTGCGAATCAAGATTTGTCGGCAGGCGAATTGGGACCATAGTCCTAGTTTTAACTTATCGCACATATGGCTTTCCATTTTATTTAAATTTCGATCATCATGCCCTCTTCTGGTGAAAACTCAACCATAATTTGGGACATTTAAAAGGAGCTAACATCAAGTAGTTTACAGCTGGGCTTATCATTTGTGTGAACCTATCCTCAATACAGCTACTATTCCTATTGCAGAATCTACTAATTTTAATAATTCCTAATAAAAAAAGTTCTAGCATACTTTTAGGCACCCACATTCTAATTGCTCAATAAGAGCAGCTTATAAGGAAGCACATGGAAAACGAAAGGAAAGGAAATAACATTTTTTTTTCTTAATATATCCTTCTGGCAATTTCCTTAATAAATTTATGGCAAATATGCCACCCACCCGCACTTTCTAATAGCCATCTATCCAAATATTTACAATGTAAACACAAGGAAACCCAAATTTATATGTTAAGGCGAGTTCTTTTCAGAAATCTTACAAAAAACGTAGTTTTGCATGTTGAGAGACATGCGCATAGCTCAATTCAAGGGTTTAATGGTGTTTTTTTTTGTACCAAATGCGTAAGGTTTGAGATAGGAATAGGGATATAAATAACATATGATGATGTCCTGTGCTACAATTTCAACTCAATGAAAATTCGGAGAGAGATTGAGAGGGAGGAGGAGTACAAATGAAATGAATGAAAGTTGAGCCTCTTCTGTTTATTTTGGCAATTTCATTCATGGCATAGCCCTAAGGAGAAATGAATGTTGTTTTGGACATATAAATATTTTTTTTTTGCTGTAGGATATAGAGAAGGATGTAAAAAAATAAAAGATATTTTCGTTTGTGACGCAAATCTTTTGTAGCTCGCGGGAAAGAATTCGTACTAAGCTAAAGTTCATTGGGCAGAATGTATGGAGATGATGATAGAATGGACATAAATATATAAATTCGGAATAATCATTTCATTTAATTCTATGACGATAAAAACATGTCCGTATGTCTGTTGTAAACCCTGTGGCCTCTTAATGGATTTAGATATATCGCTAAAATGTTGCATAGAGTTGGTTTTTGTCTGCAGGCAGTTGAAGTTCCAAGATGGGCTATATCGGTCCATATTTAGGCATAGCCCCCAAATAAGGGTATGGCCTATTTGCGATATTTTTAGGTTTTTGAGCGCGTTTTTCGTCCGAATTCGCTGAAATGTTGTGCTATATGGGTCCACTTTTTCGGGTGGCACCCATATAAGGGTACCTCTCAATTTTCAGTATTTTGGGGGTTTTGAACGCATTTTCGCGATCGAATTCGCTGTAGTTTAGCGTTTTGAGTTCTTTTTGGGTAGCAAATCTCTCCACTAAAAATTATAAATATTTGTCCGTTTTTCGGGTAGCCCCCATATAAAGTTACCCCCCATTTTTCGTTACATTGAAGTTATTGAACGCGTTTTTCAATCGAATTAGCTGCACTTACATGACTTTCAGAGGCAAAATCCAATTTTAAATAAATCGAAAACAATTAAATTCTTTACAATTCTCCCTTAATAGTTTTTTGTAGAACTTTAGGAGTACTATCAGTGGTAAAAAATGTAGAGCCTCCGGTTTATAACTTTCGAGATAAAGGCAAAAAAAGGGCGTTCACTCACGCGACTTCAAATATACATGACTTAAGACATCACTGCTAATAATGAGAAAACTTTGCGAATTGTGTGAATATTTTGAACATTTTATATTCTTTACATGAAGAAGACATATCAAGCATTATTATTGCACTTTCAAATTTTTAAAATTTGGCATATCCTTTATTTGCGGTCACTCACGCGACATTTGTGAGTTTGCTGTTTTTATTTCTGCAGTCTCAACATTTATGGTCATTAAATTAGTTTTATGCTAAGAAGAAAAAATAACAAATGCGGTCTTTCTTTGTATTTTTGCCTTTACGTATTTAAGCACAATTAAAAAAACAAATTCTTCGACTTTGGTTTACCTTTTTGCGGAAGTGCCCATATATCGGTCATTAATTAGGGATAGCCCTCATATAATGATAACCTAAAATATTCGCTAATTCCTACTCTATGTAATCAATATAGGTCTCACTTTAGGCACAGTCTCATATAACTTTGCACTCTAAATTGCTGTAGTTTGAGGATTTTATACTCTACCATGCGTCATCAGATTCTAGGAAAAATTCCCGCTTTTTCACTTGTTTATTAATTAATTTTTATTAAAATATTGTTTTTTTATTTATTATTTGTTTCTTTGTAATTTTTTCTTTTTTTATTTTATTAAATAATTTGTTTTACTTCATGATCCATTATATTTTTATTTAAATTTTTTATTACATTTATAATTATAATTATTATTGTTATGATTATTTTGAAGTTTTTTTTTTTAATTTTTATTAATTAATTATTTATTTTAATTTTTATTTTTTAGTTTTATTGTTTCATATTTATTTATTAGTTACATTTATATATATATATATATATATATACATTTATATATATATATATATTATATTTATATATATTATTTATTAAATTATATATTTCTAAATGTATTTCTTTTTCCCGCCATTTATTTTCCCAATTCAAAAACATTAACCGTTGCAAAATCAATCTTTCCCTGTAAATAAACATCTGTGAAACACCCTGTCTAGCAAAACAATTCGCTCATGCATATATGACTCTCCCTGTTTCGCAAAACATCACTCATCATATATGACTCTCCCTGTCTTACAAATACATCAAAGAAAGAGATAACAATGGGAAAACAGGAGAGAAAACAATATACACGGTCTTTTTTAAATACTGCAACAACACTACTACACACCAATGATGATGATAATATACACCTCTCTCACACAAACACGAAGTCTTGAAAAGGCAAAATAAAAACACACAACATAACGAAAACAACACAAAATGAAAACATAAGTGAGAAACACAAAACGACGACAAAAAACCGCACACACGAAACGAATATTCCGGATTTTCTGTTTTTGTGTAAAACCAAATAGCCGAAGAATATGTGAAGAGTGTAAAATAGAAAACAAAAAAGAAAACCGACGACGTCCAAGCATTTACTTTCGCAGATAGCACACGAATTAAAACAAAAAAGAAAATAAAATGTAAGCACACCACTACACACTTACCTCTCAGTTAGTAGTTTATGTACATATATAATGTAATTATATAAAAAAATGGTAAGGCTCTTGATGTGTGCCAAAGCATTTGATGCATCACATTTGTGTTTCACGTATTCAAAATTCTTTAAAAAAGGATTACATTTTCTTTTGCATATTTGTTTTTGGTGTCACAAACAACTCCTTTCACAACTGCTGTTGTTTTTTTCTTCTTCACACACAACACAACAACAATAATAAACAAAAACAAGTTAGAGTGAAAAGTTTGCAAAACTCAGCAGTTTGTTTTGTTGTCGTCGCCGTATTTTTTTTTCGCCCGCAAATGGAATTCACAAATAAACATGAACGAAATAACTAGAGGAGATATTTTGATTGAAAACCGTTTTCCATATATTTATTTTCTTCTTCTATTACTTGGCTAAAACTCTTCTGCTGTCTCGGAATCCAATCGAATCGACTACTCGTTCGTTCTGTTTGATGGTGAATAGCTGATTTGTCTGTATACGAGCACTCTTTGTCTTGCTCTGTTACGTTGCTAATGCCACACACATGCACACACACAAATGAACGATTTTTCGTGAACGAAGTTGTTTCGTTTTTTCGTATC